TACAGGATCGCGTGTTGAACGAGGCCTGGGCCATTCGATTCCCAGGCCGAGGATACGTTTGCACCGCGAAAGGTTCGATCGAAGTCGCAATCGCTGCGAGAAATTGCGAGTATTCTCGCCCGTGGTTATCTCGCGACGTCGATTAAACATCGGTCGATGGCTTTCTGTCCGACCCCTATTGTCTCCTCGCGATCGTGGCAGAGTGTCGCTCATCGATTAAACTCGGATACAATAGGATCTTCAAAGTCCTCTCGGGAGGATCGCGAGGACTTTGGCGATGGAAGCTTTCGCTTTTTCTTTCTGTATCTCGCCAGATTTCTCCCGGTTCTCTCGTTGACGCCGTCCTCTCGAAGGACGCGCAACATCCCCTCGGTTGCTCGGCCGTTTCCGGCGGCCTCGAGCCGCCTTCTTTCGGTCACGCGATGGACGCTCTTGCGGGAATTTTCCAGGCTGTAAATTGCAAAAGTTCTGCCGGCGATCCGGCTATCGTATCGGACCCGAAACTAACCGCTGTTTCCTCTTCTTTCAGATCCCAAGGCGTCTGCGGATCCGGGCGAGTACACTCGCGGGGTAAGTTCTCCTTTAATAATCGTGCACCGCTATCGGTGATCACGCGCGATCTTACAAACAGTTTGCGAGCGTCTCGACGAGAAGGACGAAATGCAATATTTTCTGTGAAACTCGGCCAGGATTTTTGGCCCCGGCGTACGTTCTCTCGCCGGTTCTTTCTTTATCGAGGTCTCGTATTTTGCACTCGTTACGTCGCGGTTCGTTTATATTTCCCTCCCTCCCGTGCAACAGAAACAAAAAAAGGGATACAGTTGGAAGCTGAATAAAGATACGGGACGAACGGCCGCATAAATTTATGATGCTTGCATATGCATGAGCGCGGCGATTTTTCTTTTTTTTTTTACGAGGTTCCTCCGCGTACCCACGGTCCGCGATACCACTCGAAACAATACGTTCGCTCGTTATTTAGAGATCGCGAAGGATCCGTGCGTTCGACAGACAGCGAATCGCGGCCCGTCCGATCGGATAGCCCGGCGAAACGTGAATCCCGCATCCGGAATTAACTTTCGTCGCACGGTTATTTGTTCTTCGGTTCTCTTTGTTTCTTCCTGCTCTTTTGTCGCAATTGGCCGCGTTCTTCAGCCGGGCGCGGCGTGGTAATGCGCGTCCTCTTATCACTCGGCTCGAAATAAATAGGCAATATGTATTCGCGTGAGAAAGAAACGCCTGCCGAAAGCCACGTGCGTTAATCCAACGGATTATTTAGGGAGCCGCGATCGTTTTATCGCGATCCAAACAAAAGGTGAGCTTACGCTACAGGATTGAACGGTACTGTGCGACCGACTCGCATTGTGTCGAGCGAGAAAGGGAGATCAGGTGTCGAAAGCTACTCGAACCAAGTCTACGTTCTCCATCTCATTATCTATGACACGATCCACGCTCTTCCGTATTTTTATCGGCCTCGTCTCGCCTCGTTCCTTTCCGGACTCGCGCTCGCAGCGCATTAAAACGACCTCCCGTCGAGTCGTTCGATGCACCCTCGAACTCAACGTGTTTTCGTTCATTCTCAGTGACACGAACGCGTACAGGCTTGGACAACAAAACGACTAAAAATAAGATAATTGTACTGTTGAATGCAGGGGTGGCTTCGGTGACAAAAGTCAGTTGTATTTCTCACATGCAGCGAAGTTATTTCAAGGCTGGTTGTCACGCATTTAAAAGGTTAATACTTTATTACGCATTTTTTAATATAAAATATTAATGTACGTTTTACTCTTGCATCCAACAGTGCAACTGTAATAATGTAGTAACCTTCAAACAAGAATGAAGAAAGAAAATATGGATAAAAATACATAAGGGTATTATTATTTGGCGATCGTTTTCAGAAATTTTTGAATTAAGATTAGACTGAGAATTGGTTATAAACTTGAAATCAGTTTCAAATATTTAATAGTGTGTCAAGTATTTGCAGCAAAATTTTTACACAATATTGCTTTATATTAATAAAGTTTCGTCAAGAACATAGAAATGAAAGCTCGTACTATAATTGAACGGTGAAACAGTGTATTTTGTCAAACCATAAAAAAGAAAAATCGGTTTCATCTTGTAAAAATTTCAACTTTGTCAGGTGATAAAAAGGAAAATATTGCGGATATCGGCAATTTTTTACTATGTTCTAAAAGGGACATCTATTTTAGACGTGTGAGAAATTTCAAAGGAATTAGATCATCCATTATTGAGAAATGGCAAACAATTTGAATTAGATGATTGCGAGAAAGAAAGCATTTTGAAGTATCAACATACATAATACTGTTTTACATGTGTAATAATGTATTTATGTTACTTGACTTATTATTTCTGTTAAGTAAAAGATATCTTGCTGTTCCAGAAAAATTTAAAAATTTGAAAATTTTTTGGACAAAAATTGTTTTACTCAACAATCAAGTACTAAAGAGTGTGATCACTGTAAAATTTTAAATTTAGGTGTGTAGATTCTTAAAACGTTGTCCTTTAAGAAAATTAAAAAGAAGATTGAGTTTTTGTTTCTTTTGAATGGAGATAACGCTTAATGAATTGAGTCGATAAAACGAGCAGTAATTTTGAAGTAATTCAGAACTCATCAGACAGCTAGAAGTCGAAAGCAAGCAAGCAAGAAACCTCAGGAAACAGTACTAAATCCTTTCGAGCTAATTTCTATGTTTCGCTCAGTGAGATGAGATTTATTATTTAAACTGTAGGAGGACGAGAGAAAAATAGAGCTTGATCAATACACGTATGAGTATTGTCTGAATTGCAGACAGCTTCATTCGATGAAGCACAAGAATTTAAAATATGTCGCACAATATGTGAATAGTAATGTGTGTTTAACGCGTTCAACCCGGCGTGCTTTTCCATATTCTGCATGACAGGGCAGCGCGTAGTTACAAGTTGTTTATTCATCTGGCGGAATGTTACTCTTCCATAGCCATGAAAGAAGGCCAGAGAGAATGCCATCAAGAAGATCAAAAGAGTCGACACTTGCTGCCCAGTCTGTGAGAATAAACCAACACTCCCCATGTTTTCGCGAAACTTCATAACTGAGCTTTTTACTTCAATAATTATCGTTGCTTTTGACTATCCGCATCGAAGAATTTGCTTTTTCGTACAATTAAAATTAATGTGAAGAAGTGACACAATTTTGTTTAAATTAATAGCCTCCGTTCGTAACTTTGTACTCAGGTTCGTTTCCCCGAAAATAAGTTTAAACTGTGCTTTTTAAAAGTACAATTGCAAACATATTTGTGACACTACCGGCAGCCTAGGCTGGGTGAAACGTTTTGTTGATAGTGTCTTTTGATGTTCGAAGCCTCGATGGACAGCCGTTGGGATAATCGCCAACTTTGACTCACGCGTCTCGCGTTGTTCCCCGGCCGTCAGCGGGGAGTAACGAGAAGTCAGGCGGATAACGAAAAGCAAACGAGGCGCAAAATTTTCCCGACCCCTCTGAAAACTTTTCCATTCTTCGGAGCCCGGCTCGAGACAATTTCAGCCGGCGATGTCGATGACCGTGCGCGCGCGCGCGCGTACACACTCGGTGGCAACGAATATCGAGATGCGAAAAAGTTTTCCGCGAGGGGTGGCTAGACTCTCTTGGAAAATGACCGAGGAGACGAACGACAGACGTTCAGGCGGCAGTTCATTAACGTTTCCAGCACGGTGAATCGTGAAATTTCAGCAGTCCCTTTGATCCGGCGAAAAGTCACGTGGTTGAATTATTAATGCCCGGGCCACGCCGGCATGCATACATGCATAGATGCATGTTAATTCTAAGATAGCTGCGTGCCGAGTTCCGTGCCACGCCGCGACTTCACGACGGTCTGCGAGTCGAATACAAATCGCCAACGAGCAGACGAAGAAAGCCGAGATGCGCTGGGAAAAACATCCCGGCGAGAAACTTTTACGAAACGATGGCCCTTAACGTCGATGGTACATCGACAAAGTAGCGAGAGATGCTAAAATTAAGCGGCGATGTTGCAGTTTCGTCGTCGCACGGAAATTTCCTCGTGCTTGATTGAATTTCACGCGACGTTTGACATTCGGGGCGTCTGCGTCCAGTTCGAGGAGTCCGTGTTCCAAACAGTTGGTAGCAGCCAACGAAAGCAAACGGGACAACGGAAGAAATCGCTTAAATATTTGACTGCTCGGTGCGCCGTCAGCTTGGACAGCGCGAAAACGGGTGGAAGGGGATTAAATCAAATGATAATGGAAACAGCGGCGCGAAACCGCTGTTATCTGTTTGGCCAATAAAAATAGTCGGACGACTGGAGAATAGCGGGCAAACGAACGTGGAAGCTGGTCCGCGAAACCGATGGGGTGGCATTTCGGTCGCCTGTACCGAATGCACGCGACGCTCCACGTGCCATTGGCGAGGAAAAAAGAAGAAAAGGACAAAAAATCTATTATTACCAGAGCAGAGTGACAGAACCCCCGGTAGCTGATCGAAGAAAAGGGGATAAACATGCCGGAAGAATCTGTTTGGCGAGAGGCGTTGGACACCTCGGAGAAATCTCTTACGAGGCTGAGCGAAGGAAAAAAATCAAGAATGAACGAGAACGAGGGGGTGAAGAGGGCGCGAGGGTGGGAAAAAGGAGAGAGGCAGGTGACACAAGGGACGTGGCCAGGGCACCTCTGAAAGTCGTTACGAGGTTGGATGCCGCCCTTCCGCCCGATCAATATTGCGTTGGTGGGGCCGAGGCATCGCGAACTAGGACGAGGGACGTAAGGGGTGTCGAAGGGGGTGGCCGAGGGGGTGAAAGAGGAGGCAGAAGAGGGCGAATGGAACGGATCCGTGGCCACGGTGGTGGTAAAACTCGGGTCGGCGGGGTGTCGAGGGGTTCCGAAGGGGATCAACTGGGAGAAGAGGGGTTGATAGATAGTGGGGGTTGTTTGGTGGGGGCGGTAGTAGAGGAGCCAACACTGTCATGGCGCCGCGCACCACCGCCAGCCAAGCGGTACCTCCAACTACTCCCTCGCGGTGTGTGACGCGCTCTTTCTCCCGATTTTTCCATTGAATTTTCTCCTCGGGATCGTCGCGCGCGCGCCAACGTGCACCGCGAGTGTCGAACGATTCGCCCGCTCGAGAACGATCGGCTGTTCTCGAAACGCATCGCCTCGATCTCCGGAGGCGCGCGCGATTGTTCGCCGCGACCGGACTCTCGTTTGGACGAACGTTGTGTCGCAGTCGTGACTTCGCGGCTCTCTCGGGAGGAACAGGCAACCGTCTCATCAGCCGAAACCACGGAGATTCCGACCGAGGGACAGGAGTGCCGCTAATTGGAGCAACGATTCGCAGAGGAACGATGTGCCGAGAACGGTGTGCGAGTTGAGCGAGACGTCAGCGTTGTCGGTGTCGGTGCCTCGAGAGCGAGAGCGAAGGAATTCTTTTCGGAAGCTACGTCTACCGCGACGAAACCACCGACGAAACCGCCTTCTCGTTTCTCGTATCGACCTTCGAGTCTCCGAGTCGAAAGTCGGGTATTTCGGGGTGTCGGATTATTCGTTGCTAAGCCGGCCGGAGCACTATCCAGTGCGGACGAGTTCGACGACTGGCGATTCGAGCGAGTCCCCTCCGGTGAAGGGAGATCGAACGACATTCGCGAGCCGCGAGGTGAATCGATGGTGCACGCGAAATCGTGACAGAGCCAGTTTCGTTCGGGTGGTAGCACGCACGATGTCGCGGCGCGATGCGTCACGTGACTAAGAACGAATCATAGAAAGAAGGAGAGGCAAAGCGAGCAGTGGAAGGCAGCGGCGGAAAGGGCAGTGGATACATTCTGGTGAGGACCTTGACGGGTCCTGACCAGGGCGTTGAAATCGTGGAACATAGGCGGAGGTGGCTGCGACGGATGGACCGTGTTGCCAACGGCTGGATCATTTAGTGACAAAACAGGCTACCGGGAGTACAATGTCCTAGCGAAGGCAGGAGCTCGTCTAGGCCGACCCCCTCGTTCTGTTCCGTTTCGTCCAAAAGAACCCTAAGAAACTCGTTTCGCCTCCTGACCCCCGGACACCGTTCTCCGACTGGTCGACGAGTCGACGCACCATCACCTACGAGATCGCGCTTCTACGCACGCACGTACATACACACAAACACACACACACACACACATATACACGCGCAGACGACCACGTAGAAACACACGTGCGCAGTACCTATACTCGAGATCTCGTTTTAAGGACACGCGTACTCGCGTGTACGGCGCACACATACCGTCGAAAACTTGCACGCGTTTTCTCCGTCCCCTTTCTCCCTCAGGTCCCTCAGGTCGCTCTTTCTTACGCGGACGCGCGTTTAACTGCTCAGCCCCGCGTCGATGCCAGCGAGGAACGCGCTCTCACACACGCGTATCCCGCCTTAACCGTTAACCTCCGTCTACAGCAACACCGTACACCTAGAAACAATCACGCACACGCCGATTCGACTGACGTATACTCGGGACACGCGTACACAGAGGACGGGCACGAGAGCTTTCCGAATCCAGCCAAGTCCAAAGTCCTTAATCCCGTGGGGTGATCCTGGCCCCACCCGTACGTCAAGGAACCACACCCCGGCCAGAGAAGAAACTCGGGATACAGATTTACCGGGCCTCCTGGTAAGCTTTCACGTTTGCTTTCTCGACTCTCTTTCCCCCTACCCTTACGTTCCTTTTCCCCCCCCCCCCCTTTTTATTTTCTTGTTTTCGTTCTGCCTGCTTGGGAGGGTGAAGGGGGGTGGGGACAGCATCGAGATTTCGTCGCCAGTGTCCGAGCAGCCGGATAAAAGTTAGCCGCAGGATCGAGAGAAAAAGTTCTGTCGGAAACAGAGAGGTAATAAACCGTCGATTCTCTCCGAGTCCGTATCGACGCTTGTTTCACGGTTGTGAAACGGCCCGTTTCGCCGTTAACCCCAATTTCCTGCCATGGCGTATCGCCGTGCTACCCTGGTCGCCCCGACGTCCGTTACCGAGCCCCACGGTTTCTCCTCGTCGGTGAATCTAACAGCGCACATGGCCTCGTTCCATGCTGGATGCAAGTTGCAACGCGGTTGCGCAGGTTAGGTTCGCCGAGGCCGCGACGCGAAGGATGGGTTAAGGGCAGCGCGAGGATACGCCACGGGCTAGCGTTCTCCTGGCACGAACTTGGAACGGTGTCTCGCACCTGGATCCACCGGATCGATCGAACTCGGGACGCGCGCAATTATTTCAAACGCGATTACATCGAACCACCGGTGGATCTCGCGGTTTTCCGAGCAACGCGCGGCATGGATTTGTTGAGAAATCGCGCGAGTTGTCAATTTTGTCTGCATCAACCTCCTAAATCGAGCGGTTACGCGCGGACCAACTAATGACTCGAATAGTAATTTAACCTCTTGCGCTAGAATGACAAAATTGCAATATTTTCTCAGTTTTGTGTGTATTTAGGTATGACCCAGGCAAAGCAGATAACAAATTTATTATTCTAAATAATAATAATAATAATAATAATTTATTATTATGCTTTTCAATCATTTTTATCCAGTAATGTCATACCGACGAGTTCGAAAAGAAAGCGACGAATTACTGTATACGGTTTGGTCACTCGTTATGGTCCGCAATCAAGTGGTTAAACGAATACAGCTTAAATATGGAGTATTTGATTTCTATCGCTGATAGTTTTGTAATCGATGGTAAAATAATTACTAGAGATTCTCGAAAAAAATCATCGAACAGATATATATCAAGAAATATATATTTAAGGACGAATGCATCCTTAATCTTTAATGCAATCCTCAGCTTTAGGACTTTTCAGTAATTTTAAGCGCCAAAACCCAACAGTCTGATTAATACTAACTAATAGTTAACATTATAACCGATAAATTTGTCAAATAAATGATGGATTTCAAACATACGATATATCCTAAAGAAATAAAAAAAAAAAAAAGAAACCAAAAATTTTAGAAAAATCACACGTACATACGTTCGTCGAAGTGTGAGAGGTTAATCGATCGGGGAAACGATCCCTTTGAATCGCATGAAGCGTGGTATCCTCCGCCTCGAAACATCGTGTTCGTTTTCGCGAGCGAGAAAGTCACGGAAGAATATTTCGCAATTAGCGAAACGAAGCGCGCAGGATCGGGGAAAATCGCCTTTTCCATCGGTCGTCGAGAGTCGTTTAGTAAATTCTTAATTAAAAGTTTAGTCGGAGCTTGGCAAAGGGGCAAACGGGCGACGAAAGACGATGGCACTCGCATCGAGTGTATCGTCGAAACTTTGATCGATCGAGTCAGAAATCGATCTTCTGGAATACCTCGCGGGATGCTTGATTTCATTACTCCTTTGATGTACCCGAGCTAGGAAATGCACGAAGGGCACGTTTACGGTTCGGTGGCTGGAGCTAACCACGCGCAAACCTCGTCATCCACGACTCGTCGAATGCACCTTGTAACGCTAACTATCAATTTGCGTTAATTTGTGCGTGCCGCCGATTTTTCCTTCCGTGACTTATTTAAGAGGTCGTGGCTACGCGTAGCTCGTGGCTCGCAATCATCGGATAAGTACCGAGCCACTCGTGACGTTTCTACCTTGCTCATCCACCTGTGCCTCAATCGATCCACAGTTTTTCATTTCTACAGCCGTAAAACGTTTGAACGATCTTTGAAAATCGACAGGATTTGTACGCGAGGATGAGAGAGTGTCTCGTTTTAATAAACTACACACGTGCCTAAAACCTGTCGAATTCCATCTGCCGATAAGTCGCGCGATTTGAAATTGATACTCGGGGAAATCGTACGGCGCCGCGATTCTTCGTTCCGGAATTATTCGAGTCGTCGACTTTGAACGTGTTAAATTTATAAGCGTAGCAGCCGCGAGAATTACGACTGCCGGGAAGCCGATAAATTAATTATTTCCTCGTTCTGTAAGTTACACCGATGTAATTAACCTTTTGAATTTAATTACAATACGAGAGCCGATATTCGATATTGGCCGATATTGGCCGATTTATACGATACGTCGCGGTCACTCGTAATACTCTTAGTGGCCGCTGAATATTTCCAATGGCAAAATTTTCGCGGCGCTCTTGGTTGAACGACGTGACGGGTTTCGTTTCGAAATGAGACAAGAACGTGAACGTTCGACCCCGATCCGGTAGCCGAAAATCGGCGACAAAGCGTACGATTTCGACGTGTCGTTTGGTCTTTCGTCTCGATAGACGAAATTCACTCACGACGGATACGCACGCGTCGAGGACACTTCGGTCCAGTCGGTTCGCAAATGAAGAACACTCGCCGGCGATACAATCGAGGAGAATTAAATTGCATTTTGTTGGCGCTCGAGCTAGTCGAGCGAAGCGAATGGAATTGCGGCGCGGTGAGATTCGGTGCGATGGTAACGACGCGATTCCGGTGTCGCCCGGCAGGACTCGGTTAATTTCGACCGCGAATCGAACTCGGTTGCCCCGCCGCCGTTGTCCAGCACCGAGCTGTTCTCCCGCGGAGTGAAATTGCCCGTCGAGATTCGGAGAAAAACGCCGCCTTTACGGAAAAAGCGGTGCGCGCGATACCGTAACTTTTTCGCTCGGTCGTAATAAAACGCAAACCATTTCCCGGGAACGACAACAGCGCGGCTGTTTTTCAAGAGGATTCACGTGTCTGCGATTGCAACGTAGCTGAAGGAAGCGTGAGTAGAGGGTGGGTTGAAAAAGAGAGCGAGGCTCGGTTTTTTTTTTTTTTTTTTTTCGAACGGAAAGCGGCGTCGTCGTTTCGCGGTGTGCCGCTTACAATGTAGCACGTTCTGCCGACCAAATTCTCGTTCAATCTCTCTTGACCCGGACGCAGACCGGCCCGGAATTCCCTCGCGCCTCGAATCGACTAAAAACTGCTGTCGCCGCGGAATCGTGTTTCGTTTCGTTTTGTTTCGCGTTTTGTTCCGCGCAGTCACCCTGTCTACACAACCGGCGAAACTTATTACGCTCGTCGATCGAACCAGCTGAAACGGGAAAGTGGAGCGCGAGCGCCGTTTCGTGTTTTTGTCGGGTTTCCTTCAGGAATTGATTCGTTGTATCGGCGAACGCTCTCGCCACTCGACTGCACGCCGCGAGAATGAAATTTAATCGTTGCCCCGATGCACAAATGCATCGTCATTGTTGTCGAACAGTTTTTTCCACTTTTCTTTCTTTTTTCATCGAGTGGCACGGCTATCAACTGCAGAAGGAAATTGATCGACGATCCATGCAAATCCACCGTCCCGGTTTCCCGATCCCGCCGTTCCACCGTTTTGCACAGACACTTTCTGCGGCTTTCTGCCATTAATAATTCGTACGCGCCCGCGTCCGCAGCCGGAGCACGGACGATCGTTCGATTTCCTTCTTTCAGACAGTAGTAAGTAAGAGAACGCCCACTCGCTGGCCAAACGAAATTCAAATGTAGCGTTCGTGAGCGTATCCCCGGAGTGTTTGCGGCCCGAAGCCGCTTAAACATTAAACACCGACCTCATGCACGTAACGATTAATTTATTCAGCGGCGCCGTCCGTGCGCGATTTTTCTTTCGACCTAATCTGGCGCGGCCGTGGCGAGGCCCGAGACAATATCTGTCCTTCGAGTGCCGACGCGAGACGCGATCGAAGTTCTGGCCCGCGATATCGTAACTGGTTCCTCGAGGCACGCGATGCCTTTTCTTCCCAGTTTCGTAGGTCGAAAGTTGAAGGTCTTTCTTTTGAGCCACGAGCCGGTAACGTGCCACCTCGGCCTCCGTCCGACTGCATGCACACGCCACTTGAATCTGGACGGATCGATCGGGCCAAAAAGCTCGATATTTTCGGACGTCCGGTATATCCATGCGATGACTCATGCGATCGAGCCAACAGCGGTGTAAGGTCCTTACGAGACCTTAGAATTCGACTGCGAACTTTAACGAGTTGATAATCGAACGAATGGTATCTGTCGGTGGAGAAAAATATCGGGAGAGCGGAGACGAAGACGAAAACGAGGACAACGAACAACAGGCGCGAAAATGACGTTGCGTGTGCATGTTTTTCCGAGAACAGGCACAGGTCGTGCAGTAATTTATCGCTTTAATTACAAGAGCAAGAAGAGAGAGAGAGAGAGAGAGAGAGAGAGAGAGAGAGGCCGCGTTCGCCGCAAGCAATATTTTAATTTACGCTGTTGGATCTCAATTAAAGAGACGCCCGCGTTAATTACGAATCAAATGGAGAAATCAAAGTCGCGGCCGTATTTTTTTTTTTTTTTTTTTTTCAAGCTTCTCCACGATGCTCTTTGATCGTTTTATTCACCCTGTCGTGGTTATTTGCAACGTTCCGCTTGTAAATGCCATCGAGCAGAACGACAAGACCGGATTGGTCGAAAACACTCGAGTCGCATCGCACACGTGCGGTGAAATCAATGAGCAGCGTGCAGATTTATTCGAGTTCACTTTTAAGTATTATAGACACAATGTGAGCATCCGTTTCGTTAAAACGGGCGATTCTCGGACGATTTGTTCGCGAGAGAGGGTAATTCACAGTTGATTTTACTGAAACGGGAAATTTCAGATTTAAAATATACCATATTTGTTTGTATTATATACTTTAATTTGGATTTTATTAGTACCTAAGAACGTGATACTTGCTATTTAGGGAA